GGTACTAAGATACTAAGATAAGAAATGTATGGTACTGAAGAACTCGCTTGACACTATCCCCCTCCGCCCCGCCCTCCGCCCCTCGGCGCAGCAGGAGCTCGCAGGCAGCAACGCGGAGGGGGAGGGGAAGAGAGATGGAGGCAGGAATGGAGGGAGGGCCATCACCCGTTAAAGAGAAGACGAGGTGCTGAAGGTAGGACTGAAGAAAGGTAATGGAATAGGAAGACGTTAGGGCGGGACTGCAGCAGGTACGGATCAAGGCGGCCAGGGAGGGAGGGGAGAAGGAGGTAGAGGGTCCCTTGGAGCGAGTAAAGAGCAAGCCAGCCCCGAGACGTTTCCGTACATAGTCTTCCTCCTCCCCGCCCTCCGCCTCGTCCTCCTTCCCGCCCTCCTCCCATCCTTGCATCTCCATCTGCAAAACACGGCCCAGGGCCGCAAGGCCTAGAAAGGCCTTGACAGGAATGGCGCTAAACTCCGGCGAAAGGAGGGGCTTAAGGAGCCGTTTTGCCTGCTCCCACCCTCCTTCTCCTCTCCCTCCCCCCCTCCTTTCCCCTCCTCCTTCTGTTTCTTTCCCGGGAAGGCTGCATAGCAAGATCACGCTGTGTATCAGGAGCGTCAAAGCCTCCGCCTCCTCCGCCCTCCTCCTCTTCTCTCCACTTCCCCCCATTCCCTGCCCATCACGCTTTTCCCCGCCCCGCCACCTCCAGACCAGAAACTCGCGCAATTTTCTACCCACCTCTATCACTTCCGTCCTCTCGCCCTCCCCCGTCAAGCCAGAAGAAGAAAAAGAGGGAAGGGAGGGGAAAGACGGGGATGGGAGGGAGGAGGTTCGAAGCCAAGAGCGACAGAGGTGAAAGAAATTTTCGCAGGCGGCAGCCGCGCGTGATGGGGCGGGGAGACAGGAGGAAGGAGGTTGAGGCCTCTCCCTCTTTTGAGATGGGCCTCGACCGGCCTCGGGGAAAAAGTAACGGACGCACGCCTCCAGTACCTCCCCGCTTTCCCCCTCAACCTCCCTCCTCCTCCCTCCTCCTCCTTTCTCTGCCTCCTCCGCTTCCTTAACTTTCTCCAACGCCTGACCGAGACCGCTGACATCCCCTACCACACCGGACGCTGCGCGGCGTTCCCGCCTTAACACCGCCTGCACATAGGCGCGCGCGTCTTTGAGATGGGAGTATCGGCCTCGCAACGCGTCCAAGGACAGCCCGAAGGCCCGCAGGTCCTGATGAAGCTCCAGGCTGTCCCCCTCCTCCGTCCCGACGAGGAGGAGGAGGGCGATCAGCACAGGGGGAGGGGGACGGAAGGGGGTGGTGG